ACTGATTTTTGTTCCTTCTTAAAAAAAAAAAAAACCCAAGTATTTTGAATGACACTCAAATAAATGGAACTGCTTCTATTTAATACCTAAGCCTACTTAAATGTATACAGCAAAACACATTGTCCATCAGTAAGAAGTAAACTACTAGGAGAGAGATAATGCCTTATGAGGAGGAAAAAGAACCACAGTTTGCCTTCAGAATAGACATGTTTCAAAACTGAATACTAATTTCAAGACTATTTTCTGGCATTCTAGTGCTTTTAGTTTATGTTAGATATCTCAGATGGATAGTGGGGACTGTGATAAATCCTATTTTTCTACTTCATAAAATGTATTTTAGCAATATTTTTTAAGCTTTTTTTACTAAGTAAAAATCCTTTTAAAACAGTCCCTGCATTGAGCTGGTCTCCTTAGTATAGTAGTCAGGCACTATACAATAAAAGCCAGATCCCATGTGGCCAACCAGGGTTCAAGTCCAGCCTGAGGGCCTGAAAAATAACCCAGGCATGTACATGTGTGCCCATGATCCCTAAGGATGGTGAATTGGAGAACGGGGGATTTGGCATGACCAGGATCCCTGTTGGGAGGTGCTTTCTCTCTGTCTCTTTTGCGTTCACTCTCTTGTGTGTGTACACATACCCTCTGCATTTAAAAAAATAATATTACAAATCCTTACTTGAGTAACAGCTCTGAAGAACCTAAAAATGGCCCAACAACCTAAAAGTCACTAAACAATTACAACCAGTCAGGACAACAAAAAGTAAAACAATGATGCTATCACTTTATACCCATCAGGCTGGCAAAAAGCAAAAAGCCAAATCATGCATTGTTAGTGAAGATGTGGGCAGAAGGATGCTTTCATTTATTGCTGGTACACATGGGAATTTTAAACAGCTTTGGGAAACAAATCCAACAACATTTCTTAAAATTAAAAATTTATACTTATTCTTTAATCCAACATTTCCTTCTTGGAGCTCTAACCCATAGAGCAACTGCCAGCAATAACGGATAGAGATACAGTATTTCTACAGCAGCATTGTATATTGTGTAGGAAAAAAAAAAAAAAAAAAAAAGAAACCAACTGAATGCCCTTCAGTAGGAATCATTAATAAACTAAAGTATGTTTATATTGTAGAATATCGCAATGTCTCTCAAAAAAAGAAAGTAGAGCAATACCAGTTGACTTAGAAGGATTACCATCTGATATTACTGAGAGAGAAAAGCAAGACATACAGTCATATGTATAACATGAGCCTATTGAATAAATGACAACAAAACTTTTATATGTATTAATCCCTCTATTATCTATTTGCCTAGATATTTATATAGATACCTAACCATTTGTACAAGGAATGGAAAAATTTGAATGCTTTTACACTAGGTTGTTAAGATGGGTCTTGTGGGACTAGCCAGTGGCCTGGTGGTTGGGGCAGCTGTCTCCCACATGGCTGACTGTGTAGTTCGATTCCTAGACCCTGCAGTTTGAAAAATTCATTAGGTCCGTATGTGTCCATGCCCAAAATTCTGAAAGGAGAAATGGAAGAGGAAAAGACTGTGCTGTGACCATCCCCCATGGCTGGGTGATCTCTCTCCTCTTCTATCTTCCTAGCAAGCACATACACTTTCTAGCAAAAATTAAAAAAAAAAAAAAAAAAAAAAAGGATGGATTTTCTGGAAGTGGTATGGGGAATTGTGGTTGTGGCAGCAAATGAGAAGGCTAAATAAAGTGTGAAAAATCTAACAGAGAAAGTCTGATATGTGGTCACTTTTATGCAAAAATTGTATGTGTATATATGTACACATTTTTTAAAAATAATAGATCATTAAAATAAAACATTTTCATCTTCTGGCTTTTAGCCTTTCTATAGGTAGAGGATACAAGAGCATGTGAAATTTCTGGAAGAAACCATATAAGCATGGAAAAACCTAAACTTGAGGGATGGCTGAAACCCTGAGTTTCCAATCTAAGATCAAGCACAGCAGGTCCTATTCAATCATTTCAGGGTACTGGTGCCACCAAGTGGTGTCTGGCGCAATTGTTAGGTATTTTATTACCCCACCAGCTATAGAACCTTTTGGCTTACCTGTGCCTTCCATAATGGCAAGCAGTCTGAGGAGGGCTCCATTTCTCTGTGAGATGAAGCACTTCTTATCTTGACAGTCTCATGAACAGGAAGTAGAAAGAATGAGTAGGGAGCAAACAACCTTTGCCCTAGAATATGAGCTGTCCTTGGATTTCCCTGTTGGCAAGCGCTCTTTGGTGCCTGATCTTAATTTATCAAGCCTCTTCAGATGCATTCAATAATTTCTAATCACTTGGACTAATTTTACAACTTGTATGACTTTTGTAACTGCCTGATACCTTAAGCAGTTTCTATTGTCACCACTCTAGCTTAACCTCTAGTTATTTGTTTTCTAAGGTCGTAAGAATGGTCATGGGTTTTCTTAGCCTCCGTTTCTCTGATCCTATGTAACCATAGATCACTTCTAACTAAGCTTCCTGAAGTTATGGTTGTTTAACCGCACTACTGAAAAACCTTCAATGGGGTCTTTCTACTCACCATGAAGTCTGACCTCAGAGAACAAGTTTTAGTAGGGTGAACACATGTCCCAGTTTCCAAGGATGGCCTCAGTTTACTGCTGTTATTCCAATGTAATTATTGTGAATTTACTCACTCTCAAAAGTGCTCTGGTTTGGATAATACATTACATGGGTACCTAAGCTCTTACCCACTTTCTTCTCCTTCATACAATACATTCAATAAGTAACAGGAAATGTATAGTTTGTGGTGGGTGAAGTAATTGGATACAAGTAGAGAGGACTCATGTCATGTCTGAGTGAGAACATCTCTGTGTTTGTATGTGTGTGTGTAGAGTCAAATACAAGTTATTTGAGATTTATCATCATATCTAAAATTTATTTTCTTCTATCATTTAAATGAGTTTTGAATTTAGTAGGAATATCTATCTACCTTTGCATTTTTATTTGGCTCCTTTAGTTTTTCCACACATGAGAAGATCCTGTTTGAGACCCAATTATTACAACACTAATAATTCATTTACCAAATGTGAATAATGAACTAAATTATGATTAAAACTGCTAAAAATGTTGAGGAGGTAAAAACATTTATACTCCAAGCTCCTGCAATACAAAAGGCCATATCTAATTTACCCAACAACTAGTGCTTGGCACATAAATGTTGTTGAATAGAATTTAGAGCATTCTTTGTCAGTTTGTGGAACTGAAATTTGGGTATTGTATTTTGGTTTAAGTATTGTCTATTTTTACCTGCTATGTTTTCTT